ATTTGCTTTAGCTACTCTCCACTCAAGGGCAAGTTTCAGAGTCTCTTCTGTCATCCATTTTGGTCTTCTCTTCTTTTGTTGTCTTTTTAGTGACCTCTTGCTTTCTTCATGGATGATGCTCTTGATGCCATCCCACAAGTCTTCTGGTTTCCTGTCATTGGTGTTCAATGCATCAAATCTATTCTTTAGATGGTTTCTAAATTCAGGAGGGATATATTGTAGATCATATTTTGGCTCTCATGAACTTGTTTTAATTGTCTTTAATTTCATGTTGAACTTGCATATAAGCAGTTGATGATCTGTTCCACAATCAGCTCCTGGCCTGGTTTTGGCTGAAGATATTGAGCTTTTCCATTTCCTTCTGCCACAGATGTAGTTAATCTGATTCCTGTGTGTTCCGTCTGGTGAAGTCCAAGTGTACAGCCACTTTTTGTGTTCTTGAAAAAAAGATGTTTGCAATGAACAAGTCATTGGTCTTGTAAAATTCTACCATGCAAGTTCCAGCATTATTTCTGTCACCAAGGACAAATTTCCCAACTACTGCTGATTCTTCTTTGTTTCCAACTTTTGCATTCCAGTCACCAGTGATAATTAACACATCCTGATTGCATGTGAGCTTCATATATGCATATATTTATAGCTTTGGTGGTGTAATACCTAAGACATTTGATTGCTAAACAGAGGGTCAGTTGTTCAAATCTGCCAGCTACTCTGTGGAAAGAAGATTGAGGAATCTACCTCAATAAAGATTTACCACCTTGGAAACCCAATGGGGGTCACTATGAGTTGGAATTGACTTGATGACAGTGAATTTGGTTTGGTTTATACATATATGTTGTTGTTATGTGCCGTTGAGTCGGGCCGGACTCATAGCGACCCCTCCTTGGGTTTCCGAGGCTGTATCACTACTGAAGTAGATTGCCCAACCTTCCTTCAGAGGAGTGGCCAATGGGTTTGAACCACCAGTCTTCTGGTCAGCAGTGAAATGCCTTAGGCACTATGCTACCAGAGCTCCTCATATGTGTATGTATATATATATATGTGTGTGTGTGTGTGTGTGTGTATGTGTGTGTATTTAAATATATATATAAAGTTTCAATAAAGCAAACATATACACAGAGACATGCTCAAAACACTTATTTAAATGTTTCTTGAGTCGCTGGGGAAAATGGCCTGTGAGAATGGGGCAACTTGAATGGGAGTGGAGGAGAGATATGGGAAAAGGAAAAGGAATGAGAAGGTCTGTGTGACAAGAGCCTCCCTACATACTCCACAGTCCACACTGTGGAAGCCTCGTGTCACAGCAGATGTTTAATGATGTGGGTGGGAGAGATGGACCACACTGACCACCCGACTTACACTTCCTTGACATTCTCCATTTGGACCAGTACTGTGGCCTCCCAGGCTGGGCCATGACATTGACATGGTCTCTGGGTGAGTCTGCAGTGGAAGATCTGAATTTAGACTGTGACAGGAGATGAGACAAGCATGTTTGCTTTTATGCATATGTTTTGTTGCACTGACACATTAACCACAGAAGAAGGGAAACACGCTACAAGGTGAGTGGTCAGCATGAGTGGGGACAGATGAACCTGATTTTTTTCCCCCTGAAGAAAAAATCATCAGTATTGCAAAGACTTTCCATAGTTCCACACCCACCTTGAAAGCCCTTTCTTGCCACAGGAAGTGCATTGGCCATTGGAGGATAAGAGGAGCTTGTGAGGCCTAGTTCCCTCACTCTCTACGTGCATAGCTCAGTGGACCTCAGTCATGAGGCTCCTCATCCTGGCCTTCCTCATAATATGCTGCCGCTCTGTGTACAATGTGGAAGGTAGGTTGCAAATTTATTTTTATGACCTAAGAAACTGGGATGGGAGGTTGGTGGGCACATGATTTAGTTTTGACTCAGTTTGACCAGGATAAACTGCTTTCTCTAAGGCAAGCCTCAGACTCCCCAGTGGAAAATGGGAATGATGATTTCGACTGTAGGAGACTTATAGACTCCAAAGACACAGAGAATTCAGTACCTGGACTTCTGTTCTTAGTCAGATGATCTGGGGTAAATTTCTTAACCTCTCTGGGGCTAAGCTTTCTTTTCTCTAAAGTGAATATAATAATAGACAGTCATCTGCAATTAAAATGAAATGAGTTATGTCATCACTACATTTCCTTGCAAGTATTAATTTCTTGATTGTTAGCTGTGAAATGGCAGTGATGATCATTATATGCCTTTGTATCTCTTGCTCATGTACTATTGATCTTGTTAATGTCTCCAAACCTTTGAGACTTCAGTCACATTGTAGGGATGGGTGAGAGTGTACATGTTCTGAAGCAAAAAGATCTTTCTATTAACATACACACACACACACACACACACACAAATGACTGGAAGCACATATCTTTATATCCAGGAAATCAATATTACCTTCAAGTGCGAGGGGGAGTCTATTATTACTGTCATGAATGTTGTTACTATTTAGGATAAATTTCTTAAATCTGTACAAGAGACCATAAGAAAATATGTGCTAAGAAAAAGATCTATACCTTGTACATGGCCATATCAAACAAACCTGCAAGACATAACCAGATGATACTCAGGCAATCAGAGCCTCACATGGGTTTTCACACATATTTCTTAAACGATTTTTTTCCTACTAGGTGGAGTTTGTTTTTCCCTGTGGCTCTGGTATCAAGAGTGGGTATCCTTGGGACTAATTAATGTTTCAGTTTAGTGTCCTTGCAACCTCCTAATTTGTAGATTTATTACTTAGACCAGGATATCTTAACCTGATCATGGATCCCCAAAGGATACAAGAATAGAAGTGGCAATATCTTGAACACTTAGAAATTGTGAACAACAACAAAAATTGATGAAACTAAACAGTGTCAGATTACTAAATCACGCTGAATGTTGCTACATGGCAGCATTTGGCTGAGACAATAGCTTGGGGAGAACCCAGGACAGGGTCTGGGAGTGGAGGACTGCAGACACGTGGCTCACATCCCCAGGCTCCCCACTTGAAATGACCTGCTAACCACCTCCACTGGGGCTTAGATTCTTAGGCACAGAAGTGGGACAAAACCATCACAACTGTATCTCGCCTCTGCTAAGTGAGTGATGGTGATGTTTTAAACTGATAACACAGACGCACAAACATTGCTGAGAATAAGGAAAAGCTTCATGGTTTGGGGCACAGGAGGATTCTCTGGGGCTTGGGAGTGCAGTTTAGATAGTTCACTAAGAGAAATGTTGTTGCTTAAGAAATGAAAGACACTGAAATTTTAACAAGCAATTTTCCTATTTCAGTAGATTGCGAGGCAGTTCGGCAAAGGGAGAGGATAAAGGATGGTCAGATTGTTGGCAGTTGACAGTGATGACAAGAAGGGGGCTAGGGTGAAGGAAAGCAATGTTAATGAACACGTTTTGTTTAACTCTTTGTTTAAAAAAATGTCTTTTGATTTCAGTGACACTATTGATCAATTCCATCATTGTCTACTGTTGCTTAAGATGTATTTAGCTGAATGTATCTCTGGGAAGCACATTATCAGTCTCTTCAGCTAAGGAGAAAATCAGCACTCAACCTTTGATGAGATTTTACCAAACCCCTTATACTGTTAACTCTCCTGGGTTATTTTTCCCTTCTGCAATGTAAGATTGCCTCTAAACTTAAAGTTTTAATTGCTTTGGGCTGTTTCTATTCAGGATGAATACTTTCAGACCCACTTATATAATTGACATTTTATTGAAATAAAGACTGCGTTATTTTTTCAGTCAAAAACAAGCCATCATCCCCTTACTTAATATTGCCTTCCCCAAATTACTCAGCATTTGTTACTTCACTCTGTGCTACTTATTTCATGGTAACCCTTATAACTGTATGTTGCCTGATGTCCCTATGTGTGCTCCATGAGAACAGGGACAATCTTTAGTTTAATTAATGTTTTGGACACATGAGACACTCAATAAGTAGCTGTTGTAGAAATGAATAAATGAATGGTATTGAGGCATCTCGTAGCCATATGATTTCTGTATGAAAGTGTGCATGGAGATAAATAAGAATTTACTTTTCTTCACAAAGAAACTTACTGAAACAAAACTATTGGTCTGCTTTTTTAGTTACTCAAATGTTTACAAAGGGTCTATGATGTGCAAGAGACTGAAGATGTAGATATGGGTCATGTCTTGCCTACAGAAGCTTTGTATTCTTTTTTTTTTTTTGAAAGGTAAGGTTTACTCTGAGCAGTTCTATATGCATATAGAGTGATCATTCTGATTCGGAAAAAAAAGCAAAGGTCTCCAAGTAGGCTGAGTAAACAAACCAACAAACAAAAAACAAACTCATTGCCCTACAGTGGGATCCGACTCGCAGTGACCCCTCCTTGGGTTTCCGAGGCAGTATCACTATGGAAGTGTTGTTAAATGACATCGAATTGTCTCCAACTCATAGTGACCCTATGCACAGAATGAAACTCCTCCCGGTTCTGAGCCAGCTTCATGATTCCTGCTACACTCGAGCCCATCACTGCCGCCATGGTTCAATCCACCTTGTTGAGGGCCTTCCCCTTTCTTTTTTTAAAAAATTTTTATTTAGGTGAAGATTTACAGAGAAAATTCACTTTCCATACAGCAGTTCACATATACTTTGTCTTATGTCATTGACCACAGTTTACCACAATGCAACAGCTCCCCTCC